CTCCGACGCCCTAACCAATGCATGGGCTTTGTTCCTGAGGTTGAGGAGAGTCTATTTGTGGCGGTGGTTGACGGTGAGGCTTTCGAAATTGGCCGATCGCCGTTCTTAAACCCGCCGCATGTTCTGTCTACCGACCTTAGCTTCTCTTTCTAGCCCCTATACGCTTACCAACGCCTGCATTCCTTTGATTACTTGTTGTACTCCTTCTACCGTATTCCTTTGTCTTTGCATCTCAGTCCCGGATCAGATTGACTATAAGTCTTCTTTGTTATAGTTTGAATCCATGATCGACCTAAAATATATTATAAAAAGTCTTTTGTTTGATAGCTTGAGTCTGCGTGATTTATTTCTCTTATTATAAGCGCCGAGCTGGAGTTGACGGTGTATCGGTCTCCACGCATATAAGGATCATCTTCCCTTTCAACAAGAAGGAGAACGCATGTGTTGGCGAGTCAACCTATTTTGAGTCTTATGAATGAGATCCGAGCTACCCAAAGCAATCGAAAGGCTTTCCATCTTTTTGCAGGCTAACGGGCGTTTCGTCGTTCCTGAACCGGCAAGGGAAGCTACTGGCAACCCATCTCCTTCCCATTGACTTGTTAAGACTGACTAAAGGAAGGCGATCCGCATCTCCGAATTCATCTGTGGGCGAGCGAACAGAAACAAATGAAGCATCTAATGCACCCGCATTTTCCCTCCCATCTTGTGATTATGCCATTCCATCCCCGGGGGAACAAGCAGGCGAAACTAGGGTTCCGCATCTATTACTACATAACTTTCTCTTTTTAATTATTTCCATGGTCATGCCTTGTGGCACGGTAGCACCCGCACTATTGAAATGGTTTGTCAGTAGAGATGTTCCCACAGGCGCCTCTTCTTCCAATGGTACTATAATTCCTATTCCTATCCTTGCATTCCCTCTTTTGGTCTATATACATTTCAGGAAATTCATACGCTCTATGGAGGGAGAAAAAAATGGAGTCCTCATTCTTCCATTGGGGACAGGTGCACGAACGACAACTCCGGAAGTTTCAAGGCCAATTTTGTATGAAATTTGGGGTGGATTAGGTAGAGGGAAGGCCATGCAGTGATTTCCCAAGGTTTGATTGATGTGGTTCGCCGAAAAACCGACGAAAACCACCAGAGAAGAAAGGAAACGGGTTGGGTCACGCGAGTCAAAGGGAGGACCCGGTTCTCTCCCTCATTTCCTTGTTCTCTCCTTTCCCTCCTTCCTTGTTTTCTGATTGGGCAGTGCTCTCTCTCTCTCCTAGCTAATGCCACACACGTGGCACCTCATAATTATCTGGAGAAATCCAATGACCATTTCAACCCTAACTTCACTTGTTCATATCTTATTTGTTATAACTTCGTTTCACAAACGGTTTGTGCTTACGTGTTCGTGAGATTGAGCTCTATTCAAATATGCCAATAAATACGATAAAATATATAAGGTTAAAATACGTCCTTGTATAATTACATTTAGTCAACGAGGGACATTTTAGTCGTTTCACTTTCTGAAAAAAAATTCCACATAATCACATATTTTAAAAATTTCAAAGTATTACAAATTCATTGATAGAGTCATTACATTGGTTTGTTACAAGGCCATTGGCTCCATACTCTCATCAATAATTAAATCCAAAATTAAAGTTGGAGGGTGATCATCCCAATCACACGCATGACTCACCAAGAGACCAAAACGGGCAAGCCCTACGTGCGATATTGTTTGCTTGGCGATGGGTATGGGATAGAGTAGCCTAAGTAATTGTTGAAAGTAGCGCCTTTGTGTCCACCATGATTTGCCCGATCTCAGAAAAGTGCATGGAATGATTCTTAGCTGCTTCAGCAATCTGAAGTGAGACCGTATATACGTAAGAAAAAGTTGTAACTGAATCATGTTAAATTCATAATTTTTTTTAACATGTACGTCCATCATAATATTAATCATCATCACCAGATGATCATATAGTCAGAGCCATTAAATCAAAATGAGATATTTAGATTCACTACTCAATTCAACGTAACCACTAAATTAAACATACAAATCTGGACCTAATAAAGAAAAGTTATCTATATCAACAAAATTATTCTAACTTAAAATCTCATTGGCCTGTATGAAGATGGTAATCCTTCAAACTCCTTTTGCCATGCTTCCTCAAAAGTCCTGATACCTAGTTAACCATCCTTGGCTCTAATTGCTATTTAACCATATATGGTAGTCTACCATGATTAGAGGTCTCCTGGCCCACAATAAAACTACGATGTGGCCGATATGGCTTATTCACAATGAATGTACAAATAAGTGTTCATTAAAGAAAAACTACCAATAATTTGTGGTGAGAAAGAAAGAGATAATTACATGAGGGAGACCAAGAAAGGCTGAGTGAGAGTCAGAGAGAGGTGTAGTTTTAGTATAGTTGGCATGGCTTTTGTGGCTAATAGTAAAAGGCAGCAATGATGATGTTTGTTAGCAAATGATGATGCCTCTTTCTTCTTTTGGGGAAAAGGTATAGGCTAGGGACATCATGATATGCCTCTTCCTTGTTTTGGGGAATAGGTTACCTTCTGATTGAGGAAGCAGAGAGAGAAACGGGGAGAAGGAGAGAGAGTGTAGCCTATTTTTTTCTCGGTGCAGAGAGCAGAGGAGAGAGCATTCAGCTCTCCCATTTGAAGAAGAGCCGCTGCTCTCCTCCTTCGTTAGTAATCACTCAATCAAAGATAACGGTGCTACAATTTGTGCTTTTGGGAAAGAAGTGAATTCGTATAAGTTTTTATCTTCTCTATTTGTTCTTTGTACGAGTGAAGGTTATTGTGTGTATGTGGAATTTGAGGTCTGAGAGTTGAACTCTATTTGTAATTTTCATTTTGATATTAGTGGAATTTTCTTGTCGTCTATGAATTGGACGTAGGCTTACGCTGATCAATTATAAATCCTTATGTCATTTTAGATTATTTGTCTTGTCATATTTTGCCAAATTAGCTTATTGGTTTCATACTTGACGCTTCCGCACAACATTTTGACTGATAGAGGATTTGAAAATTTGTAAATGAGAGATTATAAGTTCGATTCTCGTCAAAGCGAATTTGAACTACATTATTGCTAGTCCATTGTGAGGCTAAGCCCATACCCTTCCTCTTAATGTAGATAATATCGATTGTTCAAAAGAAAAAAAACAGGCTTTGACCAAACAATAAGATAGACTAATAGGCTAATAGAGGTAACATTTTTTTCCTTCCCATTCTCGTGAATGACCATGACTGTTTTTTCTTAATTTTTTTGTTTTTTCAAAAGGGTAATGTTAGTAAGATCAAAATTCTAAAATAAATTTTATAAACAAAATGATGTAATTGTTGATTATTGAACTATCACGTGAGTATTAACTAATATGTTTATTCCTTATTAAGGACACAAATGAGTTGATTTCCTTAACATTATTCTTTTCAGAATGCATCAGACACCTTAAGTACATTTTTCACCTGATTTTCGAAGCTATGATTCGAAGTCATAATTCCAATAATCCAATTAGCCTTTGCACTTAAAAACAGAGACTGACTTCGACACACATTTCTCTCTCCCCAGTTATCTCCACCCATAGTCCACGAAAAGACAGACCAATAGGCTAATAGTGGTGACTTTTTTTTTTTGGGTTTGTAGTCGTTCTGTCTGTTGTAATGCTTGATACTCGCCTACTTACACCCTTTGCAAGCAAACGAATATAAAAAAATTCTCAAAAGCTTATAAAAAAAATGCCATACCGACGACTAAGAACCAAAATGCAATAAATTTTAGGGAAAATAGCTACATAAGTATATTTTGTCATTTGGTTTACAAAAATATCATTTTCAATAATGACAACATATTTATCATGTATTGTCCACAAAAGATAGCACTAAACAAACACAACAATAATATAATAACGACATAATAAAAACGAATTATTTATAAATAAAAAATCAAAATATGTATATTCTTGCTAATTATAAATTTTTTTTTAAGAAAAACAATAATCTCTTGGTGAGCCGTAAGCATATTCGTATTGTGCGAGGACGACCCCACTTAACTAAGAATTTTTTATTGTGACAAGAAAACGAGTGGTAAACCACATGTTTTTATGTAAGTGGTGTGAAATTTTATTTTTAAAGTTATTAAATTTTTAACACACATATCCCACTATTTGTATAGTGACAAGTAGTGTACCATTCCGTGTGCTAGTCACATTGACCATCTCTAACCGAAAAAGGGCCAAAGAGAGTTTATGGCCCTATAACCCTCTAAGAAATTAATATTTTAATTAATAGTATCAAACCATTTTTCTTAACATCTTCAATTGAGGGACCAGAGGGCCATAGGCCAAACATAGCCCTATGACAAAAAACCATCTCCAACCGAAGGGGCCAAAGGGCCAAACATAATTTATTATTTTAATTGAATTACTATGGTTATTTAAATTAAATTACCTCAATAATTTTACGTTATGGATTGTCAATAATTTTTCGAGATGGAATCTCAATAACTTTACGTCTTGGATGTTATGTTGTTTAATGTTACTTAATGTTATTTATTGTTGTTTAATATTGTTTAATGTTGTTAATATTGTTTAATGGCTTAGGAAGTTATAGAAAAAAAAAAAGAATTTTTAAATTTTTTTTTTTAATTTTGTAAAAAAAAAAAAATCAAATATAACGATTAGCTGACGTCAACAAATGCTCCCCCCGGGCTGGCTAGGTTGGGCCAGCCAATTGGCCCTTTTCTCCGTTTTTTGACCAGATGGTGCCCACAAATCATTTGATCTAGCCATCAATTGGATATGGTTTTCGTATCATTTCAGGTTATTTTCCATCATACGGCAACGGCCTTCTAAGGCCGAATTGGATGGAAATGGCCTTAACTGTCCGGGAGAGCGAGGAATTGTGTACACGTGGTTGACCTGGAAAGGCCTTGTCAATTCCCATCACAAAGTCACAACCCAGTGCGACGCCGTACTCGCTCTTCAATCGACGGCCCATACTCATCCATTACCCCATAAACACTTCCCCACCGTCTGTTAAAATCCACGATCAGCAAAAGCGCGGGAAACTGAAATATTATCTCCGAACCAAGAAGTACAAAACGGCACCAGGCTGAGCCAGAGCGATTCACTCAGTCAGTTTTCGCGTTTCGTTGCTCGTGCGAGAAGCTAAGACGCAGCGTTTCATCTCTCTCCCTCTCTCTCTCTTTCTCTCTCTCTCTCTCTCGATCGGAGCTACCTTAGCGTGCTAAGGTTTCTGGATTTTGTTGGAATGGCCCCGAGGAAACGCAAGCTGACTGCGCAAGAGAAAGAGCAGGTGGCAAGGGTCGGGGCCCAGTTGGAGGCGCTGGTGGCTAGGGACACCGCTCGGGGGGGATCCGCTCAGCGAGTGACCCGGAGTTTGACTCAGACAGCTGCCAGTGGGAGCTCGGCTGAGCCCCGGCCAGTGGCGCCGGCGAGGAAGAAGGCCAAGGGAGCTCAGAAGAAGAAGGAGCCGGCCAAGAAAGTGAAGCCGGCGGCGGAAGAAGCGGAAGGGGAGGCTGTGAAGGAAGAGAAGGAGAACTCCGTCGAGAGCGAGGCAGAGGCCGAAGCGGAGAACAAGAACGAGAAAGGGAAAGAGAAACTGGAGGACAAGAACGCGAAAGGGAAAGAGAAAGTGGAGGACGACGGAGAAGCAACGAAGCATACTGGCAACGAGTGGGACAAGAGGACCATTGTGATTGAGCACTGGTGAGCCAATTTTATCCCTCTATCTTTCTTTGATCCTGTTTGTTTGCCGAGAAACTTTTGGGATATGCAAGAAAATATTGTTTCGCATAATTGTGCTTCTTGTTTATTTATTTATATATTTTTTTTTTCGTTCAGATTATGATATTGGCTTTGAGCCTTGGAGCATTTTGACTTTCTGTTATAATAGCTATTCGAGGGGCGAGTGGTTTAACTTTGTATCTAGAAAGCATGAACTGGTGTTGCAGGAGTGTAGTGGATTCTTTGTGATTGAATCAAACTATAGTACATTCTTTTGAGAGAGGCTTTTGATTCCATCAGTTTCTGGAATAAGTGATTGTAGTTTTGAGAGAGGCTTTTGGTATATGTATCACAATCCAGCCGTTACATTTTATATTGTTGGAGTAGTTTCATTGCTGGATAAAAGTTTATGGAACCTTTGCTCCCATTTGGAAAATGAAAACTATTTGTTGGTTATGAAGTGGCCCAAGCGACTCGTTAGTCGCAGGTTTGGATTGCGAAAACAGCCTCTTTTAGAAACAGTGTTATTATCGTGCAAGTCTTGCTCTCCCAAATCCCACATTAGTTAAAGTCTTGCGCAATCCGCCGCCTTTTTTGTTTTTTAAGATTGTGACGATTGTTTTTTAAGCGGTTAGTCCTTGGTTTTTATTGTGTACGCATGGATTCCCCATTCCCCCAACATTACCAAGATTTCTGTGTACTAGGCTGCCATATTGGTGTTTTTTTCTTTGTTTGGTAGTTTGGCTTTTGCTACGTACCTGCAGTTTCATCATAGCATCCTTATTAACTGATTTGTTTCATTTCTCTAGCAGGCAATGCAAGTCATTCAAGACAAGAGCTGATGAGGTGAAAGATAGTTTGGAGAAAGGTGTTCCTGGCATCAAAGTTCTACTAAACCCTGATAAGGTATACTTATTTAAGGATATTAATGTTTTCCATGGATTCGAGCTTATTTGGATGGAAACATGATAGTAACGCTGAATTAGTAGAAAAACCCAAAACATTAGTTTTATGTATTTGAAATGAGTACGTTTACAAGTGATCGTCGAAACCATAAAGTATAAGGGGATAAACATTGTTTGATAGTGTTGACCTTAAAAATTACTAAGCCAATGTGGCGCACAAACCGAGTAATTAATAAGCTAACTACGTCATTCGGTTGTGTGCGGAACTTGCCAACTCGTCGGCCAAGTTCGGCCGCGTAGTAAAATATATTGATGTAGTGTTGGGCGCGCTGTTGACTTCTTGATCTTGCAACTGCGGTCGAGGAAGGAACATGTCTCAGCCTTCGGGTTCTAGAGCTTGAAGATAAGGCTGCTAGTTCTACGAAGTTCACAAATCGTTGGCGTCGGGTTCGATCACGGTGATTATATTCATGAGAGTATAAGCACGTCGAATTGACACCAGACAATATGGGCACATGTAGTTTGGTTGTCGGAATGCCCAACTCTAAAGTGTACTTGTGAATATCCAATCATAAAACAACTCGGCGTTCAACATGCCGAGCCTAGTAACTTGTAACACTTCACTTCATGAAGAAGGATGATGAGATGACCTCTATCAACAAGGACTCGAAAATCCTTGTTAATCGAGACTTGGATAACCAGTCAATCTCGAAGCAGTGCTGTTTATCCAAATTGAAAATGCTCCTCGGTCGGCTAAGTCAAGAATGTTGATGAGATGACCTCTACCAACAAGAACTTGAAAATCTTAGTCGATCGAGACTTGGATAAATAACCGGTCAATTTCGAAGCAGTGCTGTTTTTCTAAACTGAAGATGCTCCTTGGTCGACTAATTCTTCGGCTTCAGTGATCTTTATCCAAATTGAAGATATTGCCAGTTGCCTTCACATTGTTGTATATCCAAATTGAAAATGTATTGGCAGGAAGAAAGGGAAAGAGGATAAAATCTTAAAAGTTATTAAGAAACTTTGTGCATGACAATTTGTGTATTGATTTGAGGGGGCCTTAAACGTTGCTCGCGACTCTGTATTTATAGCATCCATACTTTTTGCTTGGCAAGGTTAATAATTTCGTAGAAGCCAACTCAAACTCAAACTCGCAGAATGAAAAACTGAATAGGCTAATGCCTATTTTTCAGCTGACTGACTTTTCAAACGAAATAAAAACTTGCCAAGCTTATCCCATCATGACCAAAAGCCTATCGTACCTAGGCTTCTTATCTCATCACCTTTAGTGGAATTATCACATCATGACCAAGGGCCTAGCCTACCTAGGCTTCTATCCCATCACCTTTAAACCCATCAATGCATGCATCCTGATCCCCATTCTTGATTATCAGTTTGCAGCATATCCTACCCAGGATTTGGATCGGATCCCCTCCTCGGGATTTTAGGGATCAACGCACATGAACCGTTGATAAAAAATAGTGGGACTCTAATTAAATGTTTTTTATATTTTTAAAAGTAAAAAAATCTCGTTTTGCATGAAAAATATAAAAAAGGAAAAAATTATGACCGCACGATTTTTTATCAATAGTCCGTGTTCCTTGATCCTTAGAATCCCCAAGGATCCTGTGAGGATCCAAATCCTCCAATCTACACGTCTACACACCAGACATCCCAACTCAATTTGAACTGTTCCGCTTGCTTAGGGATATAATTCATATCCTATTTATCCTGCTTAAGAATATACCAAGATAATTTATATTAAAAGATAATTATTATGATAAAAATCATAATATTATCCTTTAACAACAACAAAATTATCTTCATTTTTCATCCGACAGTTGGAAGCTATGCTCACTCAACGACTTTGATTGCATGAGCTGATGATTTAATTTTGGGTCCAAACAGATAGTTATCCATATTTGATTTTTTGTAGACTTGCAGTCCTCCTACAGGATATTGAAAGTAACTATTTCCTTCTTTTATTGTGAATAGCCAAGAAAAGGATGCTTTGAGATACGGGAGGAAGGCGGCGAGACATTCATCAGTCTTCTGGTAATTCTTACACCAACGTTACTCTACTCTTACAAGATTTAAATTGCAATAATGTTTTGTCAATAAGTCTTTTCCATTCTGAAAGACATTTGATCGGAGAGCAAAATAGCTCACTGTTTTTTCAAGAAAGGTAAGTTTCAGTTTGAAAAAAAAAGGCTAAAAATGATTGATGATAATTGCTATGGGAATTAGTTTAAATCCATATTGATGATGAATCTTAACAGGATGCTTACCTTTTCACAAAAAGGAAACATCATATTCTGTAAGATTTTTCGATGATAATTTGAATCACTTATTCTGATGAAGAGAGGGTGACCTTCATTAAACGGGTTTGTTTTGGTGCAGAGATAAGATGATCAGTTTTAACATGTTATCAGCTTATTGAAAAGTAATCACTTTTTCCGAAGTTGTCATTTATGGGTTTTGTTTTGCAGGACATGGAACGACCATTTTCAGAAATGGAGGAGCTGAACATGGAGGACGTCATTGCCGATATAATTGAGAAGATCAAATGAACAATGTAATACATGGCATGCCAGAGGAGTTTTTTGTTAGTAGGGGTAACTGTCTTTTTGGGGGGTAACCAAGTTCATTTGGTGTTTTACATTTGATCGTATAGTTGCACCTGGTGAGGCCAACGATCTGGATATATTTTGAAAAGGCTCGAAAGATTAGACGTTGCATACAAGCGAATGTAGGTTACTGATGATAACATATTGTTTTTGTTAATGCTTGAATTTAATCGAGTAGAACTTCCTTGACAGCATAATATTTCGATTTCAAATTTCTAATCTTCTGTGATTTTATGCTCCATTGTGCATTATTGAAAAGAGCTTTAGATCCTTTTATCATTTCACCCAAAATTAATAAAAGATAAATAAAGTCTTATTGTTTTGCAAGTAATAAAATTTTCTGCAAATCATTGCACAGCAATGTCTCCGTCTTTCAGTTTTCGGGAATGAAGATGACCAACAACGTTGTAAGATCTTCTGCTTCCGTTAACGAATAACGATTGATAATCATCCACGTACTTCCCTGTTCTCCGTTTCTCTCTATATGCTATAATACTAATTTCTTTCTTTAAAAAGCCACGAAGAATGAGAGGGACCCCATTACCATCCCAATGCATAGGAATCTCGAAGCCAGCGGAGTCGAAGCAGAATCCTCAGGAGGTGGTAGTGCTGACTGCTGCCCAGCAGCTTCAGGGGACGGACCACGCTTGAATATTTTCGTCAAGGCATCACCAGCCCCAGCGGCAGCACCAGCAGGCCCTGGAGCAGACTTGAACATGTTGGTTATTGCTGAAGCATCTCCATTCTTCGCTGCATCTGCTGCTGGCGCTGGTCCATTTAATTGCTTAATCATTTTGTCCAACTTGTCTTTACCACCAGGGGCCGGAGCAGAGTTAAAGGAATTGGCTAATGCACTAGGATCACCACTCTTTGGTGCATTTGCCTTTGTCCCTGCTTGTCCATTAATTTGATTAATGATATTGGATTGGAGATCTGCGGGGACGTCCAAGGCGTCTGCGACAGCCGAACTGATGAAAACGAGGAGTAGACCAAAGACGGGGACGGGGACGGGCAGGGGGGAGGCTTTGTGAGTTGTCATGGTTTTCGATTTGAATATTGTGAAGGCTGTTTGATGAAGGTAAAGAGCCTTCTGAAGGGTTTTTTTTATGCAGAGGGATTATATTTGGAGAAGACAACCATGAGATACTAAGTTTGGAGGATCAGTTTTTGGGGTTTTAACTGTCTTTCTCCAACCCTCCTCTCTGTTTTTTTTTTTTCTACAACCCCCTTCTGTTTATATTGTAACTAAACAACTGTCTGACTTAGGCTTCAACTCTCAAACCCCAAATAACAACTCAGAACTCTCTCTTAAATAATATGCTTATTTTTTAATGTATTCTAAGTTAACGCTACATGTGCCACATTTACGATCCTTTCAAATCAACTGAATGTTTCTGAAAAGAAATACAAGTGTAACTTATAAAAAGTTGATTGCTTATTTCTTAACTTAGGCGAATGTCAATCTGCACGTGATTCACCCGTGACTCCGTGTATACATTTTTCTTTTATCATTAATGCATTTTAAGAGTAAACGAATGCCATGTTATGTGTGTGATTTCCACGTGATTGTTTGGTATCTTTTCTTCTATCCTTTTTATTTTTTCATAATATTTTGTTGAATATGCCTAATTAACCAGTCAAAACTTCGGCTTTTTTTTTTGTATGGCAAAGAGAAATTCACTCCCACCCTTTAGGCTCCACCATCCAAATTTTCCGTCTAATTATCCAATAAATCTCTGTATATAAAGCTCCCAAATCCCCACTTCACAAACCAGGGCTTGAAAATAAAAATAAAACATTGCTTCCAAAGCAAGAAATAAGGCAAAGCAAGATAAACAATAAAGATGGAGAACGCAAAGGACTCCGTCATCCTCTGCCTTGCCTTCTTCCTTGTCTTCTCTTCGGCTTCGGCCTTTGACATCGTCAAGCTTCTCGAGAAGCAGTCGGATTTCAGCAGCTTCACCAACTATCTCAAGGAGACCAAGCTCGGAGACGAGATCAACAAGCGCAGCACCATCACAGTGTTGGCAGTGGACAATGGAGGCATCTCAAGCATCTCCGGAAAATCCCAAGATGTGATCAAGAAGATCCTGAGCGCACACGTGGTTTTGGATTACTATGACCAGAAGAAACTGACCAATTTAGTTACTTCCAGCAAGGTGTCAACCCTAACCACAATGCTCCAGTCCACTGGCCAGGCCAAGGACCAGCAAGGGTTCATCAACCTCGGAAAGATAGACGAGGGAGGGCTTGCTTTCGGGTCAGCTGTCAAGGGCAGCAAGCTCAACGCCAAGCTCGTGAAATCCGTTGTCTCTCAGCCCTTCAACATTTCAGTTCTTCAAATCTCAAATGTGATTGAAATTCCTGACATTTCTGCTGCCTCGAGCCCTGCCAGCTCACCAAAGTCCTCTGCCTCACCAGCTCCTTCTCCATCAAAGAAATCATCCTCTGATGCTCCCAGTCCTTCCTCCGAGGTTTCATCCCCACCTGTTTCTGGTGATGCTTCATCTGCATCCTCACCATCTGCTGATGCACCAGCCGGATCATCAAGCTCTACCACTGGTTCACGCCGTGAGATGGCTGTTGGCGCCGGAGTGGTGATCATGAGCTTGGCTTCCCTTTTGTTTGCTTAAGTAGTCGTCAATCATTGAGGAAATGAAAAAAAAAAAAAAAGAGAGAGAACGTAGGATCGAAAAATATTTATCTTAAAGAGTTCGCAATAGTGGTTTTGCGTGGCAAATGTATGGAACATATATTCATGTAAGAAGCTGTTGTTTTCCTTTTATTATGCATCAGATACCCTTTAAGTACATCTTTTCATGTGATATTTTCGAATCTCGGTTTCGGTATTCACAAAACCAATATACAAAATAACGAGGAATAACAAACATACTACTAAAACTATGAGTCTTCACAATAACACGAGCTTCTGTCCAATTAATTGGATGGGAATGGCGATGGGAATTGGGATTAGGGAGTGGCTCCTCAGGGATTAATGAAATGAATAAAGGGAATAGAGCACAAATACGAGGAAGCAAAGTACAGCAATAGTCACAATTGTACGTAGTCAGAGCGGTCTTTCTCTCAGCAAGCCTGGATATTTCCATATATGTCTGAGAGCTGCCCAACCAAGTAGAAGTTAGGGTTGCTGCCGTTTGGAATTTGCTTTTGCCGCTTACCCAACTTTATCAAGTCACTTTTCTTCTTCAAATTTCTTCTCCTCAACTTAACAATAAAACGTTGCTTTTGCTTCTTAAAGGCATCAGACAAGGGCGAGAGGATGAGTCCAAGGACAAAGACACCGATCAAAAAGGTACAACCAATTTACGAGACACTGCTTGCAGCTCTTTTCAGATTGTTTCCATACGTAACCACTCTTGTTTCTTAATATGATTAATTCATATGAAATATGTTATAGGATTGTTTATTCTTTATGTCCTAATTAATTAGGTGTAACTTATATTTTTCCATATCAATTAAATTTTTCGTACCAACTAAATTTAAAAAAAAAAGCATGAAAATAATAAAGAATGAGGAGGAAGAGAAGGGAGAATCAATGTTAGTAAGGTCTTGGTGTTGCGCAGATTAAGTTACGTGATAAGTATACATATTCTGTCACATCCCGGCCTGGGATCCATCATATTCCAAGCCCACTCCATCATCGTAGCACAATATTGTCCGTTTTAGGTCCCGACCACACTCTCACGGTTTTGTTTCTGGGAACTCACACGAGAACTTCCCCATGGGTCACCCATTATGGAAGTGCTCTCGCACGCTACTCGCTTAACTTCGGAGTTCCCATGGAACCCGAAGCCAGTGAGCTCCCAAAAGGCCTCATGCTGGGTAGGGATGAGAATATACATATAAGGATCACTCCCCTGGGCGATGTGGGATCTTACAATCCACCCCCACTTAGGGGCCCGATGTCCTCGTCGGCACACCACGGCCAGAGTTAGGCTCTAATACCAAACTGACACACCCCTCCAGGTACTTGTAGCATGGTTCTGTATCAACGAGGACATGTGGCACTCCCAGTTTTGGTGGCATATATTGATGGTATAATTATTATCTTTGTTCACTGTACTTGTTTTATGCTCTGTATCACATGTGAAATAGATCCATACCTGCTCACCGCGTAGTTGTGTATATAGGCACTTTTAGATTTAAATTTTTCACACTTCACACATCATCACATTCTATGGTTTCGTCACCTTCCGTGTCACATCCCGGCCTGGGCGGCACCACTTCCCGGGCCCGCTCCACCACCGTAGCACGATATTGTCCGCTTTAGGCCCCGACCACGCCCTCACGGTTTTGTTTCTGGGAACTCACACGAGAACTTCCCGATGGGTCACCCATCCTGGGAATGCTCTCGTGCGCTACTCGCTTAACTTCGGAGTTCCCATGGAACCCGAAGCCAGTGAGCTCCCAAAAGGCCTCGTGCTAGGTAGGGATGGGAATATACATATAAGGATCACTCCCCTGGGCGATGTGGGATGTCACATTCCGGGTGGTGGCCAGCACAGCTCAATTCGAAGTTCTAGTGGACTTTCCGAGTCGGGGTGTGTCATATTCCTTCTTTTTTTTGGAAGGATAAAACACATAAATTGAGTGTATTTTTGCTCAAAACCTCCCCTAACCCTCAATTGGTACCTCCCTCCAAAATTGTGTCACGTGTTTATTTAACTAACCGTAACTACTTTATGCATTTAATTAATATTCATAAAAAAAAAGAAACAATTAAATGATTTATATAATAAAATTACCATTTGTTCCTTCCTCGATATCCTATCAATTAACAATTAATTGATTGAATTATTTTTTTTTAACAAACGATATTATTTACACTAACTGTGGTGAGCTTAGCTTCACAATGTGCTAGTAATAATATAATTCAAATTCACTTTTGGCGAGAATCAAACCTAAGACCTCTTACTTACAAATGAAGAGAAATACCACTATACCTAGTACTAAGTGGCTAATTATCTATCCTATTTTTATTCCTCTCTTCTCGACTATAGCCACTGTTCTAAAAATCCCCATCTATCTTCGCCTAGGAGCTAGGCGGCTGGCCACCGTCCTAATTAGTCCCTAGGCGTTTTGAAAATTAAGAAAGAGTGCTTAGACCTACTTAAGCATCCGCCTAACCCGCCTAAAGCCACCTAAGTCACAACTCCCACTTAGACAGAAAATCAATAACTTTCATTTTACATTTTATTTTTCAATAAAATATAATAAACTTGTTGGATACTATGTTGAACACTCATTGTATGCTTGTTCCCTATGTTTTCAATATATTCTAATACTTTACAATGTGTATGTTATATTGTATGCAATATATATATCTGTTGACTCTAAAAATTACAAAACCTACGTGGCGCGCAGGCAGAGTAACTAATAAGCTAACTACGTCATTCGGTTGAATGCGGGGCGTGCCAACTCGTCGGCCGAGCTTGGTCGAGGAGTAAAGTTGGTTGATGCCACGTTGAGCGCGTCGGTGACTTCTTTATCTTGCGATTGCGACCGAGGAAGGAACCCTTTCGGTCTCTGGGTTCTATAGCCTGAAGACAAGGCTACTAATTCTACGGAGTTCACAAATCGTCGGAGCTTGATTCGGTCACTGTGATTATATTCGTGAGAGTATAAGCACGTTGAATCGAGACCAAACTATATGGACACAGGTACTCAAATGTGATGTATGTCTTGATGGTAAATGTAGTTCGGCCGTCGGAATGCCGAACCCTGAAACTTACTTGCGAGTATCCAATCATAAAATCACTCGGCGTCCAGTGCGCCGAGTAACGCAATTCGTAACACCTGACTATGCCGAGAAGGCTAGCAAGGTGACCTCTACCAACAAGGGTTCGAAAACCCTCCTCGGCTGAGACTTAGATAGGTAATCGGTCGGCTTCGACGCAGTGCTGTTTATCCAAACTGAAGGTGCTTCTCGATCGACTGATTCTGCGGCAGCAGTGCTGTTTATCCAAACTGAAGGTGCTTGCCGGGTGCCTCCACAGTGCTGTTTATCCAAACTGAAGGTATATCGGCAGAAAAAGAAAAGGAAAAAATCTCAAGGTAGTTGAGAGGTTTTGCGCAGGGCAATTGTATGCTGGATTGAAGGTCCTTTTCTGTTGCATGATTTCTTGTATTTATAGCACCCCATTCCTTGAGACCGATTTGCATCCAGATCTGGATTGGGAGTCCTTGTTCCGTTTCAACTTTAACTCGAACAAACCTACTCTCACTGGGATTCTGAACTTTTCCTCTTTTCGAGGCTCTATTCTTTGCCGGTCGAGAATCCTGGTCACACCAGGACTTCCTCGACCTTTTCTATTTATCCGGACAACTTAGGATAGGATTTGACCGACCCTGCCATTTGGCCCGGTATTTATCATTCGGCCCATAGTATTTGTCATAGCCTTGGGCTGAGCACATCCTGCTGCTTGGCCCAACAATATTATTTTGGGCCCAAACAATATCCCAATACAATTATGTGTTTTTTAAGTAAAATAGGCACTTATTGATACAAATATATAACAAATTTACTTAAATCCATCTAGTCTGCCTAGGCCCCAGCTTGCCGTCCGACTAATGTCTAGTGTCTTTTAGAACATTAGCTATAGCACAACTCCACTTTTATAAAAGAGAATAAATCTTCTTCTACACTAAGGGAGAAGGAAGTAAAATAATAACTGATCAACAAAGAAAGGAAGATAAATAAGAACTGATCAACAGAGAAATAAGAAAAATAAGAACTGATCAACAGAGAAAAACTAAATATATTGAAAGTGAAACTTGTGCGTCCAAAATTTAAAGGAAGATAAACCGATGCCATTGCATCAACGAACCAACTGCTTTACCAACAGAAAGGAAGAAAAATAAGAACTGATCCAACAGATAAACTGATGCCATTGCATCAACGACCCAACTGCTTTACCAACAGAAAGGAAGAAAAATAAGATCACTAATCCAATAGCAGCAAAAAAAAAAAAAAAAAAAAAAAACTAATGAAAAGGACTTGAAAAATTTTGAGTTTTAACAATAAGGACAAAATAAAGGGTAAAGTGAATAATATCATGATTGACTTTTTAGTGTAAAAATAAGGTTTTTCGTTAAAGTAAACAGTACCAGAAACTTTTCATTAAAGTTAAAAAAAAAAATAAAAAGGCAAGTTTTGCTGTAGCTGAGAAGAGACAAAGAGGAATAGGATAATAATTCAATTTATTGTTCAATTGATTGGAAATGGTAAGTTTTTTTTTAATTGTTATTCTTTTTCATAAAGATTTAATTAAATCAAATGCATCTAAAAGTGAATTTGAACCGTATTATTATTAATCTTTTATGAGGTTAAACTCACCCTCTCACATTATTGTTATTTGTTAATCCTTTATGAGATTAAGTCTACCCTCCTTTTTAACAATGTTTACATCTTTAGCAAGAATATTAAAAAAGAAATCGGGACCAATAGCGTCTCATAAATAAGAACCACCCTGCAAAGTGGCAAATAGACACGTCGCATGATTTTAAAGGAGAGGTAAATAAATTTAGCCATGGTGGTGTCGTCACTTACGTGGTTACACCACATTACATAAGGTATATGGTAATTTTCCCGTAATAACTATATGAATGAAATTTAGGGCTTACGTACTCATCTTGCATTGAGAATTTGAATTGTGCGAATTTGATAATATATTGAAAAGACTCCATGGAGAATTTGAGGGTGCAAGTGCATGTATGGCAAAAGAAAATGAGTTAAAAATCAAAAACTAATGACAGAGCTATAGAGTACTTGAAGAGTCATCTCGCAAAATAAGAAACCCTATTTCGCCTTTGCATTTGACTTGGTAAAAAATATATATAAATAAGTTCTTATGAATAAGTATACATTTTTTCATGCGATTTTTTTAAAGCTCGGTTTCGGCATCATCAGGGGCGGAGCACACAAACTCGCTTACCCATTCAATTTGACCGCTCGCTCTCTCCCTCCTCAATGTTGCACCGCTCTGAAGCCAGCAACAAGATTAAAAGGTTGGAGAACGGTGAAAGGATCGATGTCTCAAGGTGAAACCTTCATAATATCCAAATTATCATTTTCTCATTAGGATTTAAAAAAAAAAAATTGATTCACACAAAAAAATAAAAACCACGTGACTATGAGTGGTTAGTAAGTTCATTATTTTCAAAATATAATTTAATAAAAAATAATAACAAATAAATAAATAAAATAAAAACAGTAAATAATATATTATAAAAAATGAAAAATATAAAAGAGTTAATTGCTGCACACGTGTGGCAAGTGGCTGCTATTTTGGTAAAGCAATTTAAGTTCTATACTCATAAACTAGTACCTCAACATCTAATACTATACTTTAAGTTTTAATTTCTCGTACTCTAGCTCTACAACATGTAGATCACTAACATCATATAATAATGTTACACGTGGAAACAAAATTTACTGGTCATCAAAAGAAAAGAAGTCAAAACTACGACTATAAATCGATGTAGACTCATTGAGGGAAATGCACTATACCATTAGAGCCACGGGCCCGGACATTACGAGAGTATGTTGAAGTGTATTAAGAATAATGCAATGTTATGCCCTAAATTTGGATTGCTTCTCGTGAGTAAATAAAAAAAAGTTGAGCAAATTTTTTAGGTGCGACTTAGAACTAATCCAAAACGTAATTCGGGCAAATGAGAAATTCACTCCCAACCTTTTGAGTTCTAACATCCTACTTTGTTGTTTGTCTAATTATAGCAATCAAACTCAGTCCCCATATAAATCCCACAAACTCCCTCCCCACAACAAACCAAGCTTTCAACTGAAGCATCGAAGAGAGAAAGAAAAGCAAAGAAGAAAGATGGAACATGGCATCCTCTTCTCCTCCTTCTTCCTTGCCCTCTTCCTCCTCTTCTCCACCTCGTCAGCCTTCAACATCACCAAGATCTTAGAGAAGCAGTCGGACTTCTCCAACTTCAACAGCCTCCTCTCCGAGACAAAGCTAGCTAACGAGATCAACAAACGTAAAACCATCACCGTCCTCGCCGTGGACAATGGCGGCGTTGGAGGCCTCTCCGGAGGATCCTCTGACCTAACCAAGAAAATCCTGAGCGTTCACGTTGTCTTGGATTACTACGACACGGACAAGCTTAAAAAGCTCTTCAAATCAAACAAGTCTGTAACTCTCACCACAATGTTCCAATCAACCGGTCAGGCTCGCCACCAACAAGGTTTCATCACCGTTTCGGTGAAAGACAACCATATCTCATTTGCATCCGCATACAAGGGCAACAATAATGGCGGCAATCACGTCAACCTTGTTAAGTCGGTTGTTTCCCAACCCTACAACATTTCAGTTCTCCAAGTCGGGTCCATCATCGACGTGCCTGACATCGAGAACACCGACTCTTCCCCCGCCCAATCACCAAAGTCTGCCAAGGCTCCCAGCCCCTCGAAGTCCAAGAAAGGAGGTGATGACGGGGCTCCCAGTCCGTCGGAAGACGATGAGTCATCATCTGACAAGGCTCCAGCCCCATCAAAGAAAAAGCATGACAAAGACGACAAAGGCGAAAAATCCTCGCCACCAAAGCCATCTGATGATGACTCGTCGTCAGATAGTGCTCCAGCGCCTGCACCCTCGTCACCTGCTCCATCTGCTGCCTCACGCACTCGTGGGATCGTGGCTGTTGGTGCCGCGGTTCTGTTCATGGGTTTGGCTTCACTTTTGGCAGCTTAAATTTAAAGGCTGTTGAGAGATAAGCGCTTATTTCTTTGACAAAAATTCATCTCGTTTTAAACATCCAAATCAAATTCAAATTTCAAATAGACGGTCAAAATCCAAATGTTTACAATTGTGACATAACACCTAGTTATGTTAATGAATTTAATTACTCACCATAATTCTGGCAAATAAATGCCTTATTATTACAAAAGTATTCACTTTATACCTCTCTTATGATCATCTGTTTCTGTTCTATTTCTTTTATTTGTTTGACAATCATTGTAAGTAAATTATTTTGCATGTATGTATAAGATATATTTTGTTATTACTATACATACGTGTGCGAATAATTTACCTAAATTTTTATGTAAAATATAGGTAATTAATTAATTTTGAATCAAATGGCAACATTCCTTTAGTTGTAGGGGTAACTTATTATTATATATGTGTGTGTGCATGTAGTTTACTTATATTTTCTTTTTGCAAAATATAGGAAATTAATTAATTTTGAACAAACAATATTTTTTTATTGTGTATGTATGTATTATTACATATATTTACTAGGAAATTTTATTGTTATTATATATATGTTGTGCAAAATAATTTACTTATATTTATATGTAAAATATTTGAAATTTTGAATGAAATAAATTTTTTTATATTTGTAGGATATACTAATTTATTTGTTATCATCGTTTGAAAAGAAACCAAAAAATGCTTAATTTTACACAAATATGAAAACAAATATATAAGGAATTAAAGCTCTAATATCATGTAATTTTTGTTATTAGTATGCATTGGAATCATGACCTTTAAATATTTTCTTTTGCAAATCCACATAAGCTATTTGAAAACATTTAATTGAATGAAATAATTAAAAGAAATGTAGATAACAAGTAACAGACTACCACTTAGTACTACGGTCTAGTGGTATTCATCTTCACAAGTAACAGAGTAAAGTCAATGTTATTAGGGTAATTTAGGCATTCAAAAATATAATTTTGTAAACTTGAACTCAATTACGGGTATTTTAGTTGGAGCCTAGTCATTGAGCTTTTGTTAATTATTGATGATGAGGTACCAATCACAATTCACTAAGCTGTCTCCAACGGAAGAATGGGAAAAAACAAAAAAAAAAAAAAAAAAAAACCCAAAATTTGGGTCCAAATCCTCTCTAAGGATGTATTCTGGGGGTGGGAAAAATAGAATTTCGAGTTTGGGGTGGATATTTGGATAGGAATGGGTTCGGTTCCGTTCAATTCGGTTTTTTGCCAAAACTGAAAACCGAACCGAAATTATTGTTCGGTTTGGTTTGATTCAATTTTCTATTGGTTTGTGTTTGGTTCAATTTTTTCCGATTCAGTTTCGGTCCGGTTCGGTTAAATTCAAAGTCCTATTTCAATATAATTGATAAAATAAGCATTCCAATAGAATTAAAGACAATGAAAATAAAAATTTAAAGTCCCATTTCAAATAAAATAAGCATTCCAAATTTCCAATAGAATCAAAGACAAGGAAAATAAACATTCAAAGTTCAATTACAATCAAGTCTTCTAAAGTCCAAAGTTAAATAAACATAAAGTTCAAATCTTCCAAAAGTCCAAAGTTAAATAAACATCAAAGTTCAAATCTTCCAAAAGTCCAAACTTAAAATAAACATCAAAGTTCAAGTCTTCCACACCCAAAATAAACATTCCAAAGTCCAAACTTTAAATAAATATTCAAATTAAAATAAACATTACAACTAAGATCATAAATTCAAGTAAACATTCAAAGTTCCATGCCTTGCACATACTTCTTCAAGTTCTCAAGATCAATGCTCAACCATTTCAAGTTTTGAATGACAATTTGCTCGCTAATGCATGAGCAAAATACTAAAACCCTCCCAAAAAAATCTCAAATTAGAATATATTGAAATATCTCAAATCTTTCTCTAATCTGTAAAGGCCACTATTTGTTGCAGAAAGAAACCCAAAAAATCATATTAATAGAAAATGCAAAGTATGAATCCTTCTCTAATCTTTATCGACAGAAAATGAAAATTAATAATTGGAAATCTGTAAAGGCACTATTTGTTCAATCATAACCAATTTGAACAGAACAGAAAATAAAGCACAAAGAAGTGAGAGTGTGAGACTAACCTTTTGCTGGCGAGACTTGAAACAGCAAGAAGAAGCTGACAGCGAGATGAGAGACTGACGGTGAGGTGTGAGATATTAAGAGTGAGAAGGGTCGCGGGTCACCGCTGGGAATGAGAGACAGAGAGTTTGAGAGAGTGATTGAAAACAGAGAGAAAGAGGAGGCTCAGGCTGTGAGAACTGGAAAATGTGAGAGAGGCATACGCGTGGAGGCCTTAGGGTTACACTTGGGGTAGAACGATGTCGTTTCTAGAATAGGATTATTAATTAATACAATACTTACAAAACCACGTCGTTTTGAAAAACTTCGGTTTAGTTTGGTTTGGTTCAGTTTTTGAACTCTAGAAATCGAAATCGACCTAACTAGATTTGATTCGGTTCGATTCAACAAATTCGGTTCGATTTTTTAAGCCTCGGTTCAATTTTTTGTTCCTTTTTTTTGCGATTTTCGATTTTTTCAATCCACCCTTATATTTGGAGTCTTATCCCCCCTAGAAGGATAAGGTTTCCAGTGGGTCGAGCGCTCCGCACAATTATGCTCCATCACGTGAAACAAGGCTCTACACAACAGCAACAAGATGGCAGAGGAATTCTCTGCAAGCGAGTGCACAGCAAGCAAGGGTTCTACGACCTAGATTGTCATGCCGTTGAGATCCAATGGCTGTAGTACCTTATGGGTTTTGATTCGGATAGCGTGCTAGCTGTTTCTTTTAAACTCCAACCATTCAAATTCAATTTAATCAACTTTAACGGTAATAACCTTATATGTATAAGTGAAAATTTGAAAATACAGGACTAAAGTTTGGGATCTCCCACATTTGGGCTGGAGATAGCCTTCAAGGAAAATTATGGGAATAGGGACATTGGGAGGGCACAAGTTTTGCAAGAAGTTTTGTTTTGGAAAAGCTGGAAAAACAAAAATGTTACTCTTATTACATTTTCGATACCATAATTGTACCACTTTTCTATTAAAAATGTAACTCACATGTTTTTGGTAGACCCTACCTCTATTAGAGAGGTGGTACAAATGTAGTATAAAAATGTGGTAAGAGTAGCATTACTTTAGAAACAAACACAAAAAGATGCTTCATATATATTTTTTTCATAAATTTTTTTTTTTCAAAGAGGGACTTTGTTTCTTAAATGGGAGAGATTTTCAATGCGTTCGGAATATGGGGTAGTACGCCTATGTTACTATACAATTGGAGGAAAGTTTTTTTTTTTTTTTTTTTTTTTCCAAATGTCCCTTCACTGTTATAATGACATATATGGCGTATGTGCCTGTGTTCCAAACACACGTAAAAATCTCTACTTAAATTGGTTGAAGTTGTAAATTAACCCCTATGATGCTGGATTTTTTATATTAATCGATCCTTCTTTTAATTAATAACTGTTTCACATATATTGTCATGGTTAATTTCTCACAAGTCGTAAGTCATCACAAAGACATGGTAAATAACTTTCATGACTAGCCACTCGATACTACGATCTGGTTATATTCCTCTTCGCTTAGAAGTGAGAGGTCTTAGGTTCGAATTTCATGGATAGAGAATTTGCAGCCAAATTAAGATGCCTAATGCGTATCATTGCCGAACTCCCCCTCGTCTAGTGTAAAAATATCGATGTATTCAAAAAGAAAACTTTCATGACTCCATATTACTGACTACTCTGGGGTAACTAGGTGGAAGATGTTAAGAATTTGGCTTTTCGAGTGATTTCACTTCATATTCAACACAACGTCATAACCCTAATTTCAGCATGTTAAACACTTTTACATATTATACATTACAAGGCAAAATCAAAGTTAATAAATCCTCACTATATACACATTGGATCATTAGATATTGATTTTTTTTTCCTGATCCGTTTTTGTTCTACACGTTCTTCATGACTAGATTCGTGGTTATAATTATGATTTAGGATTGTGAATTAAATCTAGGGTTGTGGTTATATTGGGCCATTTGGGCCATGTGGATTAATTTAGGGTTATGGACAAAACAACGACCCTTGAGTTTATCGTAGAATTAAACTTGCTAATCCACCAGCATGCATGCAATTGCAAAAGGTACTTGCCATCGTAAGTTCTTGTAAAACAGTTCTATACACTCATATACATACGTATGTATGTTAAATTTCTTATATTATACAGTCGATATAATTGCTTTTAATTAAGCATCAACTTAAAGTGATTGGCTATAAATTGAATAAGGATGTTAGTAACTTAGCAACTTTCTCACTCATATCTAGGGTTTTCAAACCCAATCTGTAATCATGAAACTCTTATAAATACATGCATCCCACGATTGTTGGGGTATGCATTTGAAGTGAATATTACAAGTGATTAAGTTTTACATGGTATTGAGCCTTTTTCGTCTAACGACATCGATCCTTTCCCTTCTCCTTCCCACGCTCCAATGGCTGAAAACACTATCACCCCTTCCTCCTCCACTTCCAGCCCTACCACCAACCCCACTTCGAATCACCCCTTCCATCCATTCTCTACAGTCGTCAACATCAAACTTGATAGGACCAACTACCCACTGTGGTTGGCCCAAATCCTTCCCATTCTCAAAAGCCGAGATCTGATGGGATATGTTGATGGTACCTTGATTCCACCTTCCAAGTATCTGTCTGGTACGACCACTCTGGACCCTGCGTACAGTGCATGGGTTCAACAGGATCAAATGATCCTCAGTTGGATCAATGGATCTTTGACGGCATCTGTCCTCTCTGTCGTGGCAAGCAAGAGGACTGCTAGGGCCACCTGGGACGCCCTCGAGCAAAGGTATGCTTCCACTTCCCAAAACAGAATTTTGTTTTTACGCAATGAATTATTGCAGACCAAGAAAGGTGATTTGAGTGTGGCGGATTACCTAGATCGCATGAACGCGATCGTTGATAACCTTGCCCTAGCTGGGCAACCAGTGAGTGATGATGAACTTGTCCAGATTGTGTTGAACAATCTCGGTCCTGCCTTCGAAATGACAGTCAGTGCAGCACAAGCCCGTGATTTACCAATCACTTATCCTACCTTGGAGGCTCTTTTGTTAACAACAGAACGTCGCATGGCTGAGCACACTGCTCCGTTGGTGGACTCTGCTCCAGTTAATGCATTTATTGCATCTAGGGGCCGCGGTGGTGGTCGCTTTCGTGGGACTG